ATAGGGACCGCGAATTCTCACGCAGTCTTCGCGATATTGGGTTTAGATTGCTCGGAGAGAGATTCTATAGCTTTCCCAACCTGAAACCCAATTTCTCTTTTACTTTTAGGCATGGTTGGTAATGTGGTTAAAGATCAAAGTGGAAGTGTATGATTTGTAAAAGGATTTGCATACGTGTGATCTATTTCCTATGCGTGGTAGACCCTCGCTTGCCGCTTGCGAGGGTCTGTAATTTTCGGTACAAAAATGTAAGGGCCGGTTAGTAACATTGACCCGTCTTGGCTGACAACACCTCCAGACGACGAGGTACAAACGCAGAAAGTCTCAGTATATTAACAATCTTACAGGAGCTCAAAAACGGGATATTCTTTCTTTGCAGGAGCATTCAATGTTCAAATGTTGCTTTGGCACATGCTCTAGTTAAGTAGCTCCTAGAGAGATGATTAAACTATCCTACGTCTAGGTGGCTTTTCAAACCGTTTCTCTTTCCTACAGGGAGCATGTATACCTCTCTATCTTGAGGTAAGCGCAAATGAAGATCTGTTGAGAATAAAAGTCGAGGTAAAACATTGATGCATCCTAGGAGGCTATCAGAAACAACACCTATGCTTAAAGGGAATATATGCGCATCAAAGTCCTCGTCTGGTCTATAGCATAGACATCCAATATAGGCAGTGCTAGATCCCTATTTTAAGAACTCTTGTGGCACGTCTTAATAATTTCGCACTAGAAATTGACAAGCAGATTTATTAGCATAACACCTCCACATATGGTTGCGAGGACAATAAGAAGTACTAAGTATCCGACCACTGAGCCACTAAAGCTCGAGGGACTTAATAGCATGCTGTTGGTATCAAAACCTATAGTTTGCACAACGAACAGACTTTTAGATATAAGCCAGCGAAGTATCATTATAGCGATAGTGAGGGCGATTGAGTATGTGAGAGGAAGGGATAGACTATAGGACTAGCGCTGCATCCCAATCGGCGTGGAAACGCCGAGTGACTTCTTTCCGCTTAGGTATAAAAATCGCACCAACTGGTCGCAGACAAGTTAATGTATCAAGATATTATTGTAGAATAGATAAAGAAAACTAACTATAAGCTGGACAGCGTTGGCAAGAAAAAATCACACTATATCAGGGTATAGTTGCGTATTTCGCTACCCAGGCCGATAATTTCAGCATTTAAGCCGAAGCCTAGGTTGACAATAGTTAGTATACTTAGATCAAGACCATGGTACTCTCACCTTAGCAAAGCTAGTTTTCGTACGAGAGGTCTACCAGACAAGCGAAATGAAGAAGCATTGGAGCAACGTGCATACACTAAAGATAGTGAAGACCTATATTTTATATTGAAGGCCATATTGAGGGCTGATAGCGCTCTTAGCACCGACAAGGCAGTAATCGACCTTTACTCGGAAAGGCCACCTAGGCTAATCTTTCTCCTCATAGGTATATATAAGGACTATCCAGTCGTCAATAAAGGTCTCAGCCCATTCTTTAGAGCATAAAGTCTTAGAGGCAGGGTTATAAGCTTAATATATCCACCAGGGCGACCGACTCCAAATATCATACCTTATGATCAAACCACTAAGAAGAGTGTTGCCGTGGTTTTCAGCAGCTATAATATTTGATGCTAGAACAACCAAGGATTTCTTATGTGTGGGAGGGTCGATATATTCAAGCATACAGTCTTGCTTGCTTAGGCGTGTGAAATTGGTCATCTAGGAGTACAACTCGAGCAGTGGGGTCCAGTCGCGGGTAGATTCGTATTTAGAAAGCCAATCTAGGAGAGGATCCAAGGCTGAATCATGCCCTTCCTAGAAGTTGCTTATAAATGTAGCTGATACATAACTCACGACTAGGGTTGAAGCGAAGGTGAGAGATTTCCAGCTTAAAAACAGCACACGGGATATATCAGCATAACTCATAACATATATACCACCTAGCAGTAGGCAACTCACAACAGATGCAAACAGATTGATAGAACCCAGATTCCTAACTAGTGAAACATTCTATGCCGCTTGATCCACCGTAGGTTCCAAAGACTCTGTACCCCAATATCGAGCGAGACGCATCGAACATACGCGTGATCCATCTCCCGTCGAGACGGTGCGACCAAAATGTGCATACAGTAGCTACTAGCACCGAGGAATAAGGAAGATAACACGTTGAGGATAACATATATCGCGCTGTTGGTGGATGTTATTACGGAGAAGTCACCCATTTATAGGGTTCCTATGCCCTGTGAATCCGGTGGGAAGTATACCCAAACACAAGCTAGTATCACTATATTTGCCATAAATATAATAGTTGCAGTGATAGATTGGTTGCGAAGCATTTTGGATCGTTTGGATGCCGCTTTGGCGTGTTTTCGACCGCACATGCTCCTCATTGATTTCGGGAATATATTGACCTAAGAGTTTCTTGCTTGCGTATGTAAGACAGAGTTGGTCTACATCGTGGAAGGGTTTCGTGTTGGGAGACTGTTCTCCGAAATCCTCTCCAGCCTGGCTCTCGTCCATGATGGTTATTGATGATATCGATATGGCCTGGTCGGTCGCGTTGACGGATTGTAGGAGAGCATCGTTCTCGTTTACTACCACCGTATCGGCTAGGTACCTCATCTCGATACAATTTTGTAACTAGTTATCGGGTCACTGCATAAATCAAGGGTAGTGAGTGGCTAGCTGTTGGGCTTCTTATGATAACAATATCAAAGTACCGAGGTCGGTGTCTTCGCAGCCGCACGGAATTACACCTAGTGGGTCATGCAACTCCGCCTCGTCTCATCATCCTTTTGTCTTACGGCTAGCTAGCCTGGGTAAAGATGCTAGTGCATGAAAAGAGCCACCAAGGGGCTAAATTTAGCAGACGGCGTCTCGCCATATAACTACAGCGTCGTGCAGGCGCCTCATATGTTGATGTGCTACCTTAAAACCTGAGCCGAGGGCATGGGAAACGCCTATCAGTTCGGCTACATAAACCAATCACCAGCCCCTTGAATCCAGCTAGATCTCCTTCTATTCAATAACATCCAAGTCGACGTCCAGTGCTACAAAGGCGGCGCCCAGGTGGCTATTACGCGTTGAGGGCCCTGACTACACGATCTTCGCAGTGTTGAGGAAGTCTCACAGGCCACCCGAAAATATTTAGAAACCCAAGCAACATAAACTTTGTTCCTGATATCTTGCAAGGATCCAACACCACCAACGAAGAGCATACGGATACTTTCATTTATACGGAGGACTGACTGCTGGAAGCTTGCGAAGCGTGGCGAGGCAATCGAGATGGACGAAAAGTTCTGACAAGTTCTGCAGCAAGCTATGGGTAGAGGTGTCCAGTGACTCCAATCTTTGCGGGGGCTTGCGGATTATTATCGGAAAACTGGGAGACATAATAAAGCAACAGAAATGGACCAAGATGTCTTGCAAGCAGAACAGGAACTGAAACTATACATAGCTTTTTGTTTATTTTGCTTGACAGTTATATGTTCTGCCACGGGCCGGAAACGTTGAAAACGTGACGATGATGTATTTGCTTATCATTGATTCTTTTTGGTAGCAAAGCAATCTCTTGGCGAGACTTGGGAAATCGGGCGATTGTTCTGTTCCTATGTAATAATGATAGGTAGGCATGGCGCAGCCTACGTACCAGTGGGAGGCGATATGCAGATACTAAGAGACCAACTGTTCAAGGGGGGTATGTGGCCCAATGATATTCAACTCCTGTTCAGTTGCAAGGGGTCAGTGCGGCGGTCGTGCGACCGAGGTGATTCTCACCCACAGCTTCTCACCCTTCTCACCCCTGGTCGCGCGAAGCTAAAGCGGCGCTCACTCAGGCAATACCATACCCACCCGAGTATTCTGCACCGTCAATAGTCAATGCGCCCTCAGTCCCCAAGCGACCCTCTAGGGTGAGCGCCGGTGATATGGGCGAGAAGTCTCGAGATCGGGGTGAGAGAGATGAGAACGGGGCGACAATTCTCACCCTCAGGGTGATAGGGGCCAACTCACTCTGAACCTATCTATGTCCGTCCCAAGAAAAAGACATGATACAAGTCCCGAGGCCGTTCTTTTGCTCTGCCATGATTCGCTTTGAATTTCTTCGCCATCAAAAATATTAGACCCTACGAGGTACACCGTGGACTAGATCTACACCTTACCTGTGCAATATTATGTAGAGCGAGGCTCAAATCTGGGTGATGAATTATTCATCTCTATTCGTTTATACAGATCACCTAGTGGGACACCCTCTTCGATAGGCAGTCTCAAACCATAGTGGTATCTCACAATACTATGTAATCTCTCAAGTACTAAATTATGATCAAAAAACATATACAACATACTAGACGAAATCGGGACTAGGCGCCCCAAAATGGCACCTAGAAAGAGTGAAAGAGTATATTTGATAGAGTCAAACATATTCGTTGCTGTATCTGGTACTGCGCTTGATCTTGGTGTTTTCGCAAGGTGCTCACCCTATCCATAGTGGACTAATATACTGTTCGATCTGGGCGTCCGTTAAGAATTGTTACGTCCTCCCTCCGTCCTAGCGCGGCGGAGTCACCTGACGATGGGCTGCAAACTTCCGCGCCCCCACCCCCTTTTTTCCCTTCAGCCAAGAGTTAGACAAAGACCCTTTCAAAGACATTCATACGATGAATTGTAATATAGGATCGACATCATTCTGCGGCAGCAACTATGGCTTCCAAATTGGAGATAACCATGGACGGATTAATGCAAATTTTCATTTGCCTCCAGGTCAGTCAAGAACCGAATAAGGTTATGGCCGTTTTTTAACCATCGCTTGCAACCCCAGAGCGGCCAGAGACTCCTCCTAGCCCCTTATCAAATGTTCCGTTCCCGCGCGATGCAGACTTTGTTAGTCGCAACACGCTGCTTCCCTGGATTCACGAGAAAAGCTCAATGCCAGCGTCAAGGATAGCGTTGGTCGGCCTCGGTGGTGTCGGGTGAGTAAAGAGAAACCAGTGTGCGATATGTTCCTAAAACTTAGCAGGAAGACGCAACTTGCTATCGAGTACTGCTACCAGGTTCGATCACGATCGCCGGCAACATGGGTCTTCTGGGTTCATGCAAGTAATATGACTCGGTTTGAAGAAGGGTTCCGAGCCATAGCGGACCGGGTCAAAATCCCAGGGCGCCAGGATCCTCAGGTAAACTTATTCAAATTGGTTGAAGACTGGCTCTGGGATGAAAAGAGAGGGAAGTGGCTTCTAATTTTTGATAACGTCGATGACAATGGTTTCCTGTGTAACCCCCCAACGACTGGGATGAGGAACCGGTTCAACTTGAACTTGACAAAACCGCTCTTGGAATACCTCCCGAGGAACCCGAATGGATCTATTATCTTCACGAGTCGAAGTCGGGAGATTGCAGCGAAAATGGTCGATGATAAGGACCTCATCGAAATTAAGCCAATGGAAATGTTCGAGGCATTGGAGCTTCTCCAAAGAAAGCTTGGACAACCAGGGGCAGACCAAGAAAGTCGAAAATTAGTGAATGCGTTAGAGTTTATGCCACTGGCGATCATACAGGCCGCTAGGTATATCCAAAATCGGGAGTATTCGGTACCGCAATACCTAGAAGAGTTCCAAAAAAGTGACCGCGAGGCGACAAGGCTTCTCAAAAAAGAGGCAGGTCACGTCTATCGGGACTGGGAGGCAAAGAATTCAATTATGGTGACGTGGCAAATATCATTCGATTATATACGGCAAACAGAGCCTTCTGCTACCGAGTTGCTTTCTTTAATGAGCTTTTTCGACCGACAAGGAATACCAGAGATACTTATTCGGCGTCAACCGAGGGTCAAACGCATATCACGTTCGAATCCTCGGAGTGATTCCAGTGAAGGGGAGACATCTGAGTCTGACACAGGCGCCAATTTCAAAGATGACATCGAAACACTGAAGGATTATTCATTTATATCTAGCAGTAAAGATGGGCTTTTCTTTACGATGCATCGGCTAGTACAGCTATCTACCCGCACGTGGTTAAGATCTCATGGAAAAATACACCACTGGAGAGAGAAGTGCATCAGCAATTTATTTCGCGAGTTTCCCACTGGTCTATATAAAGACTGGGCGAAATGCCAGCTCCTCATTCCTCACCTTCGATCAGTGATGTCTCAACGACCGAAATCACCCGAATCTCTACAACAATGGGCAACTCTACTTCTCAAAGGCGCATGGTATGCGTCACAACGCGGTGACATCGCAGATATAAGGGCAATGGCATCAAAGTCAAGAACCGAAAGATTGGCTTTATCAGGTGAAGAGCATGAAGAATTTCTTGATAGCATAGATATGTTGGCAACAGCATACTCGCTTGAGGGTCTATGGAAGGAGGCCGAAAAACTCTTTTTACAAGTATTAGAGACCCGCAAGACAAAACTTGGCCATGATCATCCCAATACGCTGAGGAGTATGGCTAACCTCGCGGTGGCGTACCGGAACCAGGGTCGGTGGGGTGAAGCCAAACAGATTCAGTTTCAAGTGGTGGAAATGAGCAAGGCTAAGCTCGGTGACGATCATCCCGACACGCTAAGGAGTATGGGCAACCTAGCGGTGACGTACCGGAGCCAGGGCCAGTGGAAGGAGGCAACGCAGCTCCATACACAGGTCATAAAGACTTATAAGACCAAGCTCGGCGGCGATCATCCCGACACGCTAAGAAGCATGGCCAACCTAGCATCGATGCACTGGAGCCAGGGCCAGTCGGAAGAGGCCGAGCAGCTCGATATATATGTGGTAGAAAAGAGCAAGACCAAGCTCGGCGAGGATCATCCCTCTACCCTCACAAGCATAGCCAACCTAGCATCGACGTACTCGGACCAGGGCCGATGGGAAGAGGCCGAGCAGCTCTTTATACAGGTGATAGAGATTCGCAAGACGAAACTCGGCGAACTACATCCTGATACGTTGATAAGTATTGCCAATCTGGCATCCACGTACTTAGACCAAGGCCGATGGGAAGAGGCCGAGCAGCTCCAGATACAGGTGGTAGAGATCTACAAGATGAAACTCGGCGAACACCACCCTGATACGTTGATGAGTATTGCCAACCTGGCATCTATATACTCGAACCAGGGCCGACAGGAAGAGGCCGAGAAGCTCGACGTATATGTGATAGGGATGCGCAAGACAAAACTTGGCAGCGATCATCCTGACACGCTGACGAGTATTGCCAACCTAGCATCGGTGTACTCGCACCAGGGCCGATGGGAAGAGGCCGAGCAGCTCTTTATGCAGGTGGTAGAGATTCGCAAGACGAAACTCGGCGAACAACATCCTGATACGTTAATGAGTATTGCCAATCTAGCATCGGTGTACTCGCACCAGGGCCGATGGGAAGAAGCCGAGCAGCTCTTTATGCAGGTGATAGAGATTCGCAAGACGAAACTCGGCGGAGATCATCCCGACACATTAGCGAGTGTTGCCAACCTAGCATCGGTATACTTAAACCAAGGCCGATGGGAAGAGGCCGATCAGCTCTTTGTGCAGGTGATAGAAACCCGCAAGATGAAACACGGTAGCGATCATCCTGACACATTAACGAGTATGGCAAACCTAGCTGTGAGCTATATGAGCCAGTGCCGATGGGAAGAGGCCGAGCAGCTCCTTATACAAGTGATAGAAACTCGGAAGACGAAAATTGGCGGCGATCATCCTCACACGTTAACGAGTATGGCTAACTTGGCCTCAACGTACCGTAAACGGGGCCGACAGGAAGAGGCCGAGCAGCTCGACGTATATGTGATAGGAATACGCAAGACAAAACTTGGCAGCGATCATCCTGACACGCTGACAAGTATTGCTAACCTAGCATCGGCGTACTTGGACCAGGGCCGATTGAAAGAAGCCAAGCAGCTCCTTGTGCAGGCGAAAGAAACTCGCAAGCTGAAGCTCGGCTCATCCTCAAATGCTGACGAACATGACCAACCTGGTATCGACATCTTAGACCAGGGCCGGTAGGAAGAGGCCGAGTTGCTAGACGTGATCGATGTTCGCAAATCTTGTCCTGGTCATATCCTTTGACAACTATTGAACCCATACATCACTTAGATAGCTCCAAACTTGCCTCGTTCTCTATCTCACCCCACGATTTCTACCATAAATTATTTTCTCATTGCCAGAGACCATGGATTGAATGGCATCGCTAGTGGCATAATTATCGAACGTACTAGCATTTTCGTCTAGATTATTTCCAGCTGTCGAGCGGATATGCATGTATTGACGAGTTGTCTCCCACTCTTCTTGTACCTAGGCAGTTCTGCAATGTCCTGCTGAAAGGCTGCACTTATGTTTAACTTAGTCACAATTTAGCCTATCAGTGCTTTAAAATGAGTTTCTAGCTTCGTAGCGGTGTCAAAGAGGGTAATTTTACATTCATGCAATCCCTTATTAGTGACACTTTCGGGTACGCTACTCGAACTGATAGATTAGGTAGAATTGCCACGAGCTTCTATAATTATTAATTGTCGAATACTATGTTGGAATACATGGTTGAAACCGAGTATAATACTCAAATATCATGTGACCCCGATTACCAGACATACTATACAACAGTGTACACTACAGTTAGTGATCGATGTCCGCACAGATTGTTGAAATAGTTATGCATATTATTGAACTTACGATACCTTACTGTACACCTTGATTCTGTCATTAAATCTGACTAATGTGGCTTAATAACTATGTACATATCTCGAGACATTTCTAGGTGCTTAGGCGTTCCTCTATCAGCTGATTCCCCTAGCATCCGTGTTTGAGCCTCGTGCATTCTTAGCGATGATATTCTCGAGCTTCTCGTCGATACTTTCTAAATAAGTTCCGAGATCATCGGTGATGGTTTCAATCATTTCCTTGTGGCTCTTACGGCTGTCGACTAGATAAGCATATCAACATTAGAGTAAATTTCATATACGCAAAGACTCACAGATTTGCATCAGTGAGGGCAATGACGAAAGTTGATTTATAGCCAGCCAACATTCGTCCAACATTCGTCGGAGCCCATCAATATCTTCACCCATATATATACTTTAATTTGGCCCAGTCTCGAAAGTTCATCTTACTAGCACGAGATCGCGTCGAACATTTCTCAAATCCTCTTTAAAATCTTGATAGGCATTTGCACATAATTAGCGCTGAGAACAGAGCTACAGCCCGCCGCTAGAAGCATATTCGACTTGTACCCTCTAAATCTATGCCTAAGGATTGCAAGAGGCATCATCAGCGCAAGAATAACAAGGGGGACTATAGGAAGAAGCGAGACCCCATAGCCCGTGAGGGCGTTAAGTCTATAGGCCCCTTCGACGGCTATGATTTCGATTTGCATAACGAATATGCTCTGGAAAGGAAGGCGGTCATGGTTGCCGACATGAACATAAGAGGTACACTGTATCAGCGAGGAAAACTGAGATAGTATGTCGAGCGCAGTTGTCCTTTAGGCCAGATACGTGAAGAGTTTTGCGTTCTTTGCATGAAAGCCATCCCCATCTTCTATCCATTGATCTCGTAGTGCTGCGTATTCTTCCTGGCCCGCAAGTTCAAGTACCTCGAGTATGCACAACTGTCCATCGATTTAACCTGCTTGCGGAATAAATCCTCCATAGTCGGGTCAGTCTCGGTAAAATTGTGTTCAGTGAACTATAGATACTGTTAGACACGCAACCAGTGTGATTCTGGATGGCCGAGACTCACTCAACGTGCCAATGCGGCTTAGCTGTTACCCATATCTTCGAGCCTCACATGCTCTTACTAGTCAAATTTATGTGCCATCTTGTCAACCTTTCACATTCTCAAGCCCTGAGGTAATTCGGTGTTTGAAAACAGGTAGTCGAGACGGATAATCGAGGTGGTTGAAACCGATTTCGTTTCTCCCCATGTCGGTGAGTTAGTAGTAAGTGGCTTCCAGCGAACTTATATTCAGGAACAAGTTTGATTCTCCTAGGCGGCCCTTCTCTCTTTTTTCTCCTACTACCATTTTAATCCTAGGAGGACATGTGTCAACCGGTAGAAGCTAGTACCAGAGAGTTGTGATCAAAACATGCCTGTGAGAAAAAATCAGTATGGGAGGGGAAGGACACGTCAGCGGTTCAGGGGCGTGCAGGATATTCAGGTGTAGGATAGTGGTGTTCAGGGTATTCAGGTGAATGGGCTGAATGGACTGAAGAGTAGGGCGGCAAGGGCAATCGTCCCAATGAATGACAAAAAAGGTGAACAAAAACATACAACAGTGAGGATTCGCTGGTGGTCACCCACCCAACTACTAACTCACCGGCGTGTGGCTTAAGTACGGCTGAGCGGACGGGAAGCCCTGTTTTCCACACCCTATGGTCGTA